GTTGCTTGGTAAAGGTGGTTTCTCACTGTGTCAATGCAGTGCACTTTCCTAGACTAACAGTTGTGCCTGTGCTTTTGTCACGGGAGACGGCATACTTGTTGAAACCGGTTACCTTCTCCATGGAGCTAGTAGGTTTCTAAATGTTCTAGTGCAAACCCTGGACCAAGGTGAGGCCGTCCTTTTCTCCCACTGCGACCTCTGCCTGTGCAAATGAACTGAAACATGAGAAGCCAGCCTTGCCAGCCAGGTTCTAGCTGAGCTTGTGTATCCCATTTACCAGCAATGTGAGTCCTTGTTGCTAAAGTAACTCATGCATTAATTCATGGGGCTGAGCTTTGCTGGAAGATCGCAGTTGCTTGAGAGAGGCCATCATTAAAGTCCTAGACTAATAGGATTCTCTTGGAAATGCCCCAGTTTTTAATGTGGATGGGAAGAGGGGGAGGGGAAAGAGGGACTGGGTAGTGGTTGTTCACACTCTGCAATTGCCTGTCCTATCTGCCAGTAAAAACGCTTTTCCCTGACTTCTGCTTGCTTTGTGCCACAGTGAATGACCCTTCTGCGTCCTTCCATTTTGTGTGATCCAGCAGGCTACGTTCTCCTGCAGGCTGTAATATATTCCCAGGCATTCCCACTTCCTCTTGCTCTCTAGCTGCACAAACAACAGTTCGTATTGAAATGGGCAGTTCAAGCTGCTACTGAGTACGCTATTCCTTATGGGGTGTGTTTTATCAAGTCACAAGAAGCTCAAAGTCCGTTTGCAGTACGTGAAGAGCTGGCTCATGTACCAAGAGGTGGCATCAGTTATAGCAGATAAGGTAGTTCTGGCTTTTAGCCCAAGACTTGTTTTATCACTAGCACGTTAAAAGGAAAGCTATGGAATTACCTTGGCACCAATTTAACTTTTCTCTTAATGCATTAACAACTTTGGTGGCTCTGTTATCTGCTGTTTGGATCTTAGTTGTGAAGATTTACACTGACACGTACAAGCATCTCTCCTTACTCCGTTTTGAGACCAAGACGAGAAATTAAATTTGGGGCTGGATTGCTGCAGCCAAAGGGTTAGCAGCCTTTATCATCACAGTTAGCCCATCTGAGAGTGACATCTGTATTGGGGTCAAAAAGACTGCCCATAATTGCACCCTCTTAGTTCCTCATCCCAGCATAAGATTATATGGATGCCTCTGTAATACCAGTAGTTTATTTTGCTATTTGGTAAGAATTTCTATATCTGTTACTGTAGGTCACAGAGACACTGCACCATGAGATGGTAATTGAAGGCTTCATCTTTGATGTAGGAGTCTTCCTTCAATGACAGAAGGTGCTTGGGGAGGGGAGTGATACAATGGCACAGTGCATTGACATGGGGAGATTCCCAGGCTAGCACAGAAACTGTGTTACGGTGGCGCTCTGCCCAGATTAATTGGTGTCTCTTCAGGGTTAATTAGCACGGTGCATTGTGCCATGCAGATGTAGCCTTAGCAATTTCCTTTAGCAATTATGAGATGTGATGCCAGTAAAATGTACCAGGATTGACTATTGTTTTTGGCTCCTTAATGGCTTTCTGCCCCAAAATACAGAACGTACCCATTAAGTAGCACTGTCCTTGCCACTGGAAACAGTACTTTCAAATTCAATCTTATTTTCCTCTTCTTCTCAACAAGATTTTAATAACCCTTCTAGTGCTATGCAACGCATCTTTAATTGACTTTGAAGCGTTTGACGCAACGTCTGAGACATATCTCAATATGTTATCCAGGCATGTCCTTGCAGCTGAGGGGGCTGATGTTTTTTCAGACCAACATAAATTCCTCTTTAGATAAGTGAATCTGGCTGTTATCTGTTGAAGGGAGGTGCCTGTGTTGGAGGTGTGTGTGGGAGGAGGTGTTGAACAATATTAAAATGGAAAAGAGGAGAAGATGGAATACTCTTGTTACAGATCTGTGGAGGACTTGTCAAACCAGAATGCTCATACGAAGTGAGTAGACTTTCTGTGAAAAGTGAGTGAAGCCCTGTCTTGGGGGATTTACAAAATGCCTATTACATATCAGTCTTTCTTTAAATGTAAAATACTACCAAGGCTAAAACTTCATGTAAGAATGCCAAGTTTATCAGCAAATTTGCTTCCCCTTGTGTATGTAATCTCTCTGCTTAAGTCTTTCAGTATGTGCTTGTTTGTATTTCTGCTTTTCTTTGCTTCCACTTAGCACTTGACTGTGCTAACCACTAAGTCAGTTTTTTGTCTGGGAGTAAGTTTAGATTGCTATTGGTAAGGTTAAGTAAGGCCTTGTGGGTGGCAGTTTGGAAGAAAGATGACTTTTTGATACAAGAATGCATGTTCAAACTTTGCTTGCAATATTATATATAGTTATTAAATCACTACTGTTATCAGAATGTCTTCTAATGTTTGGTGTTTTCACCAACACCTGCTAGGTGTGGTTTATTCTCTCCCTGAGGGAAAAAATGGGTGTGCTGTGTAACGCTTTTTGTTTTGGTTGGGCTTGCATGTATAGGAGTGAGATGATTGTGTATACATGTACATTGTGATTTGTTTAGTGTGAAGAGCAAAACTGAAGCAGTCTTTTCATCTGGCAGGTAAGATGGTGATGTATGTGATAAATGCCAGCCCCTAAAGGTTTTCTCACCTCTCTTCAGCCCTCTTCTCTGATGGAAGAAACTTCTGTCACAGCAAGTTGTTGTCACTTGTTCATCTTGGAGCTTGAGCCACGTCCTAGCCCTGGGCTTGGTGTTGCAGTTACTGCGCTATCAAACTCAACACAGCACAAATTAATCTAACTCAGGCGTGGGTATAAACGCTCATTTCAGTTGAATTACCCAGACTACCTGATGCAGAGTTCATGCTGGTGGTGGGAGGACAGGCAAAGATGAAATCTTCTGGGACAAAATTAACCCATGAGCAATATATGAACAATCTTGACACGTATCGTGTGGATGCAACACTTCTGATCTGGTAGTAGTTCAGAGTGTTCTTGATCCATGGGCCCGGGTGCATAGCTACTATCCAAATATCTTGAAGACAAAGGCTGAGGTCTTGAAGTGTCAGATCAATATTCTTAAGGGAAGCTGCTGTGAACTCGTTCTGTAAGAGTAGAGAGCAGGAGGTTGTACAGAAATACAGCGATTGAGGGAGTTCGCATTACTGGGGAGTATATGCCTCTAAGGACACAATTTGTCTTCTGTCTAATCCCCAGTTTCCTAATGCATTACTATTATGTAAATGGAGATACTTTTAAAAGTCTTGGATTGTTCTCCCATTGAATTGCAAGGAAAGGATGTTTAGGGTATTGTGAATAGCTAACATGCAATGTAAACAAAATTCATATTTTACGTAAAAGCTGAACATATAGCTAAACGTATTGGGGAATTGCTAGACAGGAAGCAATGGACTTCCATCTGCTGGGGTCATTTTAGAGCACTGGACACCATTTTAAAGCTGGCCTACATCTCTGCAGGCGTAGCTACTTCACTTTACCAGTAAGGTGACACTTGGGGCTTTTGAATTTCTTATTTTATAATAAATGATGCAGTTCTGGTTTATCTTTGTAAAGTATAAGATCTCCCACTTAATTTTTCCTGCGGGATCTCCCTTTCTGCTCTCCCACAGACAGGCTCTTATTATTTCCCTTCAAATGCTGCTTGTTCTTTGAGCATATGAAGTCAATTACTATTAGGCTGTTTTAGGGATTTATAAACAGTGTAGGATTGGAAAAATATGTGTTTGGGGCATTGGTCTCTGACTCGCTTGTGAGCACGAATTAATTTAGTTATTAATTTGTAATAATCCTTTAATTCTTACCTATTGTGACTCCCTTATATTCTTTTAAGCCCAGACCTATGTAGTTCTACAGACTGGGCCAATGATTGTCTTGTGTTCCCATATCAAAGGTTTAGATAAGTAGTTAATTAAAACCTGGGTGTAAATAAGTGAAAATAGCCTTCAAAACTGTCTTGAATAGCCTTGCTAGATAACTTGTATCCCTCCATACCTGTCAAATGTCCTAGCAGCATCATTTCATAACTAGTTGACATCTGCATCTGAGGTCTTTAGCATGACCTCAGGGGTATAACTGACTTTGAATGTATCTGCAAAGTGGTTGTGAGGCAGGATTTATAGGTGCAAGGAACAGTATGGGCCTTGGACACCTGGGTGGTGTCTCTGTATGGGTGCCAGTGTTTTGGGGAGGTTTGTTAATTTTAGGAACTAAACATCCTAAGTCAGCTGGAATTGAAAAATAAGTGTTTAAATCTTGATGAAGGAAATACCTTATCTGAATTGTTGTAGAGGAAAGGAGAAAAGAGTTGAGGAAAGGAGAAAAGAGTTGTCTTACTGCAGTGGTTCAGGCACGAACTTAACTGCAGTTTGCATGTGCTTATTCAGAAAGGGTAGGATCGTGTGCAAGTCCTTGCAAGATCGGAGCTAAAAAGCGTTTTTAGGAAGGTGAAACAAACCAAACGTCTCTTCTTAGCTCCAGTCTATAAAATGCTTCCATGTATCTTTCATGTACATAGACATCCTGTATTACATAGTGCTGCTTCTTAGCTCACCTGGGGCTTCTGTTGCATTTCCCAGCTCAAATTAGTAGCTCAAGTTGCAACTCCTTAAACATTTACTATTGCATTTCAGTCATTGGCATGGCTGGTGTATCCTGACATGCCCAGAGCTTTGTTTCTGTGCATTCATACAGACTGTTGTTTGAACAAAGAGGATTTAAACTGAGAAAGCAGTGCAGGGTGACATATCTGTTGCAAGAGGCATGCTTTCTTTCCAGGGTGGTGTAACCAAAAGATTTTTTGCTTTCTGTGTGCGTTTCACATTGGAAGCCAAAAATGACTTAGGCTTTCCTGTCTGTGATTATTGGTAATTTCATGATTGTTTGGCAGCATGGGTTTACTTGGCATTTGCAGTTCTTAAGCATGCCATATATTGCCCAATACATGCAATTGAGTAATTTGTGCTTTTTATTTCTGTGTCTTTTGTGTAGGATGCCTTTCACGTTCCTGGACGTGCTGACAAATGCTGAAGTACTGAACTGAAAGAAAGTAGAGGACTATCATTTTTGTTATGATGTTTTAAGGTAAGGCATGATTTCTTTTGCTGAGGGTCAGAGGAAGAGAGGGAAGAGGACAGAGATGGTCCCACAGACTGTCCCAGCCCTACCTCTTGCTCTGTAATAAACCATATTAATATGAAATCTCTACTCCTTGTGTTAGACCAAGACTACTGGTATCTGTGAGTTAGGGCAAAATTCACTGGCCTCACCAAAGTCAAAGTTGGGGCAATGGAGATGTGATTTAGTTTCTTTTCCTAAATTACTCATTCTATACACTAAGTGCTTGCATTGCCTTTCCATTAGTATGTCTTAGTGTTTCCAGTAATGCATTAATACTGTTTTAGTAATAAAAAGATTTATTCTTCTGTCCCTATGGAATGTCAGGCTGGGACATATTCTTCAGTGGAAAAGATAAGGGTAAGAGAAACTGAAGGATGTGTAAGCTAAATTCAGCTGTAGCTTGAAAAACAATCACTGTCCTTTGACTAAAGCTGCTGCTACCGTCTTTTTCACTAATTACTGTACTCTTACTCTGTACCTGTCTGTCGGGATTTGTAACTGGATGGTCTGTCCGACACCTTGTAGTGCTGCTGCTGCTATATATCACTATGAATTGTAGACCAACCACAAACCAGACCAGATGAGAACATGTTTGTGCAATGCCAAGTGCACAATATAGTCTGTTTTCACTATGGAGTGATCTGAGTGACTGGGGACTGCGTGCAAGTCTCTGAGCTGGGTAAGGCTGCATAGAAGTGTCTGCGCTGCAGAACTGCGCTCCCATCTGTATTCAGGCTGGCACTAAACCCTCTCCTGGAGGTCAGTAAGATTTCAGAGTCCATCCCATATTTCCTTCAGTCATCTGAACTGTTCTGTAGCTCTTTCCCAAAGAGACATGGAAATACACGTTAGTCTGGCCAGTGGCTGGAGGGGGGGCTGTGGGTCAGTAAGATTTCAGAGTCCATCCCATATTTCCTTCAGTCATCTGAACTGTTCTGTAGCTCTTTCCCAAAGAGACATGGAAATACACGTTAGTCTGGCCAGTGGCTGGAGGTGGGACTGTGGAAGGTACAGCTGTGCACAGTTTTAGCCTGTGAAGTTGCTGAGTTTCCAGTCTGAATAGAAGCCATGCTTGGGATTTAGGTTATCTTGGCTTTCTGAAGAGCTCCACCATGCCAGAGAGGGAGGCCACTGTGAAATACTTAAAGAAAGAAAAGAGAAAAGAAAAAGAAAAAACTTTTTTTTAAGAGCAACACCAAAGGGAGGAGCCTGAACTAAATCTGCGTCCAGAGACCGCGTTGCTCTCTCCGGATGTGCCGTTCAGCTGGGGCGCGTGCGCGCTCGTGCACCCAGCCTCTGCTGGCTCTCCCTTTGGCTCTCTCGCACAGAGCTCGGTTCAGAGAGGGGGCAGAGGGTGCCGCGGGGCACCTGCGGTGAGCGGCCGTGATGCCCAGCAGGCATTGCAGGAACGCCTGCCCGTGCTGCCATTGCAGACCTTAAAACTCGCACGTTTCAGGTCAGCCCTTGATGATGCTTGTTTGTTTGCTCTGATTCACCAGGGGTTTCGCTCTTCTGGGCTTCCAGCTTTTTCTTCACTGGGGAAAGAGGTTGGAGGCCAATTCACTCTTTGCACACAGGGCAGGGGAAAGCAGCCTCAGCTGCTTCTCTTCTGGGCCCTGAGGTAGGACCATGGTTGGCAGCAGGGTGAAAGGCTTAGAATAAGGCTAAATAAGGAAACTTACTGTCATTGTGACTTTGTCCCAATTCTGTGCGTGGCTCTCTGTGCCAGGGCCATGCCCTGGCTGTGGAAACATGCTCCTTCAGCCAAGCCCCAGCTTCAAAGTGAAGGGACTGCAGATATGTGCGTAGCAGAGCTCCCAGGTTGCCCTCGCAGGTCCCCAGACCAGGACACTTGGTGCACTAAGGCAGGCATCAATAAGTACATGTATTTGTGGCCTGGATGTCCAGCAGGGGAGCATGGGTGGCTGTGCAAGGTGTGGGATGGAAGAAGAGGGGAGCAGGCAGGAAAGAAGCAAGTGCAGACAGAGAGAGACGAGTATGAATGTAGAAAGGCTGGAAAAAAACAGAGCAGAGTCCCATCTGCTGTCATGCAGCCAAAGTGGTGATGGCTGCTGACGTCTCGCTCCTCCCTGGGAAGGCCAGATGTGCCGTGTCTGATCGCTCAGAAACAGCCCGTAAAGGCAGCTGTGTCACAAGGCCCTGACTACAAGGAAGAGCAGGATGAAGAGATGAACGGTTTGAGGTGCTGTGAATTTAAGTGCCCCTTAGGTACATACATATCTTTGCATGTCCTTCTCTGAGCAGCATAGCAAACCGTCCCATATTGTACTGGAGTCGTTCTGGACTGCGACTGCGTTATAGAGGAGAGAGAGCCCAGGCTTAATGGCAGTAGACGTCACTGAAGAGAGACACAGCGTTAAATCTCAGTACGTACTTCCATGAACACCATCCCCGTGCAGCTCGTTAAAGAAGTGCGCTTCTAATTGGACCTCAGACTTCAGCAGTAGATGGGAGATGAACAGTAGGCTGCTGAAAACTGATTCCCCGTTTATAAAGCTGACGTTGCTTCAAGTGGGTTTGTGTTCGGGGTGTTTCAAAGCTGTGCCCTGCAGCTTTGATTTAGCTGAGGGTTTTAGTTCAGGCTCCTCAGACTTTAAAATAGCAGTTGTGCATTTCTCAGCATGAGCTCAACCTATTAAACTAAAAATATCTCTCAACAAAACCTTATAATTCTGGTAAGTGAAAATAAAAATATGCAGCAGTTGCTTTCTTTAGCTAAGTCTTAAGCTGCAGGTTCTTCAGATTTCTACTTATTCATGGGGAAAATGAATTTTTGTAACAAACCTGACCAGATGTCAGTACAGCTTGACCTGGAACAGTTCCTGCCTGTAGGACAGAGCACACAGGCTCTGCTTTCACAGGAGTCTGGTGTGAACAACTTCATCAAATGCTGGGGGGTTAGTTGCCCCTACACAGTGTTGAAATGAGAAGATTTAGTCAAGTCTGGCTCATCACTTACTGAGTTTCCTGAGCTCATGGGAGGAGTTCAGTCAGATTTTTTTTTTCACAGTGATCAGTGGGCTTCAGTGGTCCCTGAGGTACTTGTTTATGCAAAGGGGATCTATTCTGGAGGAAAGCACGTCTGTTGCAAATAAGGTTTAGGTTTGCTGCACAATAGTTAACATCTCCAGTAGAAAATGTTATGAGTCTGTAAATCCAAATCAGAGTTGTCCACACACACCAGTAGGATAAATGCAGTTGTGCTTTTTTTTTTTTTTTTGGTCAGATATTTCTGCTTGACCAATTGATAGCAAAAGTGGTTTAAGTCCTATCTCTTGCTTCCTTCATACTCTCAGTTTTGGCTGTGCTTGTATACACCACAAAGACGTCACACCGCCTGACCATGCCAAACGACATCCTCCGCCTTCCCACATTGTAAAAGACAGGCAGGGACGTGATCTTGTCATGCCAATTACCCAGAGACAGCTAGAGCATCCTGTCCGCAGTGGTGTGCTGGTTGTAAAAAGGCTATCCGCAGACCTCATAATTGCTGATATTTTTCAGAGAGAAGCTGGGCAGCAGCTTTTTTCCCGACTGTAAAAAGAAACAGTGGGAAAAGTTTGCAACATGACCACAACCCACCTCCTGGTGGTGCTGCCATCCACCTTCCAGCTGGTTACACCTTGGCTCCAAACCAAGCTCGCCAGAAGCAAAGTGGTGTTTTGGCTACTGCAAGCATCCAGCCGCAGTGCAGGTGACCGATGCACGGACCTCTCAGCTACAGCCTTTTGCTGACGGCTGCCAAGATCTTTCACGCTATGCTCCTTAATGCTTTATTGCATTTAAGACATGCTTAACATAACATACTTAAGGGCGGGAACTGCTGTGGCATTGAGGGGTAGGACTGATCGAAAGCAACCGAAATGTGACATAACGTCCATAAGTTTAACTAGGGCTGCTAGACCTCACTTCTAACTTGCTTACTGGTGCCGTAAATGTTATTAAGGAGATTTCAGTATAATAACAAGTTCTTTATGTCAATAAAAGCATTGTATGTGCTTTGCTGATTTATATGACTTGAAAAGGATTAAAAAAATCTATTACTCTTTGGAGCTATCCAAATGTAAACAAAAGCAGTCAAAACGCATCTTTTTTTTTTTCCTTAGGTCCTTTGTTGTCAGAACTTGACTAGTTCAGCGTCTGTCTTTGGATTTTCTGAGACTAACAGTCAATTCCTAGTACAGCAAATAAACTATTTTACTACTTCAAGTTTTAATTTTAATAAATTCAGGGTTTCTAGATATTGCATATATACATATATATGTATATATTTTGCTATTTCTCTACATGTAAAGCACAAGGGTAACTCATCTTTCCTTCTGCTAAATGTACTTCTACTTTTTAAAGGAGGTGCTTGGTCCACTAAGAACTGTGGCTCAGCATGCTAATAAAACTCACTTTATGCCTTTAAAATGTTTATTCAAAGTGGCCTGGCTGGCTTACAGTAGCTGTGTGGGTGGACTGTCCTTGAATTTTGTAGACTTAATTTAGTACTACACAATACCCAGTGATGGAAAACAGCTATAAATTGTCTGTGCGCAGCCATGCATTATTGATAAAGGGTAGGATAAGCTCCACAATTTCTTTATTTGAAGTTGTTAGTGCAACAGCTGGCTGATTTGTTAAGGGGTTTTTTTTTTCATGTATTGGCAGTGAAATGTCTATTCGTTTTCAGATCTGAATTTGGTCCTGAATTTTGATTGTGTGAATGTGAAAGCTTGCTTTTTTCTGATGCAGCTAAATCTGATAGAAATGTTTCCACAGAGTAGAAACAAGTTTCATTTTTGGGAGAGCTAAGCAAACATAAATTCAACTGCGTGCAGAAGGCAAGGCTTTTTTAATTGCCATAAATATTCAGAGATGGAAAATGGACCATAAAGTGTCATATTAGGTTTAAAAGAAACCTTTAATATACATGATTGGCACATTTTTAAAGAAAATGC